ACAAAAAAAAAAATACTATGTTTTATTTTATTTATTCTAAAATATTAAGAACTTATTGATGAATATAGTATAACATAAATATATATGTCTAAATAATCGATAAATGCTTTCGTAGCTTCATCTCTTCCGTGACGCAATACCATTGTAAGATCTGTTGACTTTTTAAAAACACATAATATAAAATACGTAAAGCGATCAAAATAAAGATGCAACCAAGTTCGATGCAATTAAATAATATTTATAACTATTGTATTTATTATAACATGTAATTATACCAATATAATAAACAATAAAATATATCATTAGTGATGCATTTTGCTACATTTCAAATTGAAAATACGTAAATACTACAAAGATTTTCTCCATATATGACGACCGTTTAATGCCGTGACCATAGTTATTTCCGTAATGGCGTCATCCCGTTACAAAATATGAATTTTTTTAAAGAGTAATGGAAAAGATAAATAGATTAACATTCGATTAAGGCTGTTAGATAGATTTAAAAAAGCCGGTTTGTCAACAAAAGTAACTATTTTATTTCAAAGGAAATCAATTTTATAAGAATTAACAAAATATGTTCGATAAAAAGAAAAATATTATCAGTAAAAATGATAAATCTATCATTATTAGAATAACAAAAATATACTATAAATTTAAACGTCACTTTATCAAAAAATTGAAAATATTGTAATACTCCATATTTAAAATTTTGATATGAATTTATAAAATTTAATATCTTCAAATCACTTAAATAAAAAAATTCAAATCAAAATTAAATTCTGATTCATAATTAAAAATACTAATTTTAAATATATAAAAATAAATTTTTATGATGCATTTAAAATGCATAATGGTTGTATAATTTTTATAATACTAAATTTATATATAATTTTTAAATAATTATTTAAATTCGCATTATATGATCATTAATAAAATAATCAATATGTATGTTGGAATTTTGTGTTGAAATTATTAATAATTCTTAATAAATTTATTATTTTACTATTTATAATTAGAGCATAATTTTAGAACTTATATTGTAAAATTTTTCTTTATATATGTGAAATCAAAATGGTGGCTCAAATCAATTCTAATGATGATATGAATCAAACGAATAATTTACGAAAATTAATTAAATTAAAAAATTAAAATTCACAAAAAGTCAATATTACCTTAAATAGATAACGAAAAAATTTTAATAGTACTGCGCATTGCTTTTCATCTTGTAAAACATGAAAATTTGCTAAGACAAAAAGGAATTATATAAAATGAAAGAGATCAAACTATATAGAAGTTTCTATAGAATTTGCAATATGATAAAACTTAAAAATATTTATTTATATAAAAACTTCTCATCTTACTCATACTTTTAAAAAAAAGTAGTAATAACTTTTGAGTGCATATCAAATATATCAATATATAACGATAACGCAATTGTCTTAGGAATATTAATCACAAATGCTAGTAATTATCATAGCGCTTTCTCCGTCGTTGTCATGAATATCGTACAGAATTCCGGAAAGGTTTCAAGACATTTTGCTAAGGTGACATTGTTTCGATTGTCTCGGCCATTTTACATAGCGTACCTTCTAGCTATAACGATATTAATGTCGCAATGAAACGAGTATCTAACGTATTTTATTTCCGAATTTTTTGTTTTCTAATAATTCCAATTATCATTCCCAATTTTAATTTCTCAGTTGAAACAATATTGATATGCTTGAAATATCGATACAAATATTAATATACTAGTATACAGAACAAAATAAAAATCCCTCGAGATAACACATCGGAGTCTTTTCTTCCCTTTTGATCATATTATCTTGTCTTGTGTCGACAAACATAAAAACATCATAACTTTTGCCAAACTCTACCTTCTCAACATGAACACAAAAAAGAACAATTATTAATATTTACATAAAAATATGTTATAGTTAAGAAATTAATTTTAATCAATAAATAATTTTTTTAAAGTAAATACATGTTACGTAGGAACTCATTTATTTTGTGATGTCACAGTTGTGATGTTGTATGGAAGCGTCATAGTACGTAAACGAGGTCGTATGTGCATATCTGCACGTTTGTCAATTATAAAAAATATCAAGTTATCAATTTACTTTAATTTTACTTTCAAGTAAATACATATACAATGTGCCCTTCTATAATAATGTAAAGAAAAGAGAAAGCGTAAAGAAGAAAAAAAATAGATATAGACATTATAAAAGAATCTACTCACAGGCGGCGGTTTGATCTTACAAATGCCAGACTTCTCTGCGATCGGTCGTATTTTTGCGATGTAGCCAAGGGGGTCGTGAAACTCCTCAATACTCGGTTCGAAGACCGGCGCTTCTGGCGGTATGATGAACTCGAAGTCCGAATCACCACGATCACAAGCCATGTCTTGGGTGCAACGATAAGTCCCGAAAAAATCTTCACAACCGAAGTTCGTGTCGAACCTCGATACCATGACTTGAATACTCGACACAGCTTGGACGCGGATAGGTGGCCCTCACGCACCTAACGCGGGTGAGGACCTCGCGTCAGGTTTAACACTGTTACTCAGTCACCGGCTGCGAGAATTTATTTGGAAATGTGCTTCGATTAACCATCTTTATGAACTGCATTTGTGTACCTCGTGAGAAGCAGTTGACAATGTATGGATGCAATACGCACGAAATGCACAATACACACTTTCCACGGTATCACGCGGAGCCTCGCACACGAGCAACTGTCCTATTCCTTGCTTCATATACCTCTTCTTCCCTTGTACCTACTTCAGTATAATACAATAGTGGCGCCACCTTGCATCAAATGGATCACTAGCTTTTCATTTACTTTTTTTATATAAAATTAATGTCATAGATATATATAATAATATATATAAATAATTATTTATACAAAAAATTCTTAAGAATTTATATAAAAACACATTAAAATCAATTCATTAATAATAATGTTTTTGATAAAATATTATATTTAAATTGTAAAAAAAGCATAGACTAAAATTATAATATGAATGATGAACAAAAACGAAAATTCCCTATGAAATGTTAATATATATTGTTATTATATAATCAAACTAATTATTAATTCTTGATTTATAAGTTTATAAACAAAAAAATCGTAATTACTTTATATATTTAAAATTAATTACAAATATAAATATAATAAATATAATTTTATTCTAATTTACACAATAAATTGTTAATTTAAAATATTAAAATTGTTAACATTTGTATTATTATTTAAATATCAAATCAATAAAAATATATATTGTGTGTATATATATATATATATATATATATTATATGAGTGTATACACATTATATATATATACACTCCTATATTCCATATAAATTTTTTCCATCAAAGTAATATATAAATTATTATTATTAAATATATAATTTTAATACAAATACTTATAATTATTATTTTAAAAAATCAAAATTAATATAAATTTTTATTACATCTTATAATTTAAATTTACCGCTGTTACATATAAGATAAGAAGACATGCTATCTAGCAATATAGTACTTACTTCAAACGTGTCAAAATCTCTCGAGATTTGTAACATTTCACATCGAAGAACATAAATTACGTAAGTTGCATGAAAACAATTATTTTTTTTGACATAACTTTATGATTTTTATAACAATAATATTTAATAATTAATTCAAATAAATAAATCTATTTTTATAAATTATCTATCTCTATATTTATGATGATTTTTTTAATATTACTTATTCTGTTTTTTGGTTATGTTTTTTTTACATTCTAAAATATTAATATAATTCTTTTTCAGAATTTTGTGAAAATGGGATTAAAGTTTGGAAATCTTAAAAAACTAAGTGGTATTACATTTTTTCGCCTTAGTCCACATGAACAAAGAGCTTTTGCTGGAGTAGGTGAAGCTACTGGTAGAATGATAAAACGTCTCAGATCAAATATTTTAGTTGCTGGACCTTGTAAGAATTTTTTATTAATTATTTGATTAAATATATAACTTATCAGTATATATCAGTATAATAGTATTAAATATTATAATTAATGATATATTCTTATTAAAATATTTTATTTTATATTGCAGTTTTCCTTTTAAGTTATGTCATAATGGAATGGGCTACTGAAGAAAACCATAAAATGCACCGTAAAAATCCAAAAGACTATGAAAATGATGTATAAATATTTTAAACTTTAAATTAGTACTATCTATGTATTTATGTTTAATTTAATATATATATATATATGTGTATAATTAGCATTAAAATGAAATTCGTTAACTCTTTATAAAAATACGATTTATTTAATTTAAATTCTTTTTATAATAGATAAATTAATTAACTAAATATTTATTAATTATATTTTTACAATATTAATTCTTCTGAATAATTTTAAAATATATTTTGATTTTGAATTTTGAATTGATTAAATTTTATTCAATTATGATACATGTAATTTGCTTTTAGTTATATTTCATTAGTTTCTAATTAAAATGAATATTCTAAAATCTTTTTTTAAAATTGAAATAATAGATAAAAATTTATACTAAATATTTTTATATAATTATTGTTAGATTTGCATTTAAATATTTCAATATGTAATTACATATTATTATATTATTATTATATATGTAACAATACATATTTATTGTTGAAAACAAAAAGATTATTATAAGTTTATATTTTTATTCTATATAGTTTTTAAATTTTTCTTATGTTATAATAGTTTTATTGATATAAATGTTTTTTCCAAGTTAATTAACTTCACATGATTGAATCTATATGTATATATGATATATAATATAATATACGTAATTTCCTTTATTTTTTAATTTATATTTTATTTATTGAAACTTACTTCATTAAATGTGTTGAATATGAAAATATATTTGCATATATTTCAAAAATTCATAACGAATAAAAGAAAAAAATTATACTTTACAATCAATTATAACTAATTTTTAATTTATCATTAGGGAAATTTGTTATTTTTTATTGAATTGTAAATTTATTTCATTTCATAGTTCTTTTTTTTTATAGTTTTGGTAATTATGTTTTGTAATTTTTATTTTTAATTTATTTTATCATATAATTCAAAACATTAATATTTGTATAAATATATTAATTATTTATTATAATCAGTCAATTGTATTTATATAATTACAATATCTTGTTTAATCATAAGAAATATCTAATTCCGTTAGATCTAACCGCCATATTGTGCAAGTATGATTTGACCAATGAGGAAGTTTGAATCAGGAATGCACCTGGGCAAAACAGGTAAGAAGCAAACAAGCAAAGAGCAATCAGGTAGTCGTTCAGATATTTCCAGTCGAGTATGATCGGCACGTAGCTCTTTGTCAAAAGCTTCTCCTTCTTCTCTTTCTCTTTCTTTTTCTGTTTTATGTGCATATTGTGAAAATTTGTATATAGGTAAGTAAGAGCAGTGTGAAATTGTTTCGTACGCATTTACGTATCGCGTGAGTTGTGATTTTTTTATACGGATTTGTCTCATAAGGATCTCAAACTCCAAAACAGAGATTCAACGGATTCGGTGAAACGCTGCTGTCAAGGTATTTATGGAAATGATTTCTTGACTGGAGTCATTGTACCGAGTACACCGACGTGGATTTCTCCCCGCGGAGAATTGTCCGTCGCGGTCACACCTGTTGCTGTATGTCTTCAATGATAATCGCACATGAACATATCTATATATGATTTGTGTGGTCTCTGTACGATTCAGATTTAATTTTCAAATTAATTTCAAATTTTCATTCTTAAAGAAAATCCTATTAACAATATAATTGAATTTCTTTTAATTAGCACTTATTTATATTTTAATGGACGAAATTAATTTCATGAAAAAAAATTTTCGATCGTTGTACTCGGCAACATATCTCTGAGAAAGAATTAAATACAATTTTATTTTTATTATTTTTATTATTATATTTTATTTTTATTATTTAATTGTGATTAAATATTTAATTATAATTAAATAGAAATTTGAAAAATTTTTACCATAAAATTATACAGATAAATAATATTAATATGAGATAGTAAATTCATCTGAAGTTTTAGTTATTGTGCTTAAAAGAAATATTTATGCAAATGACACTTTGAAGTCACGGTGAATATATAGAATATGATTGCTTCGTAATGTTAAGTACATGAACATTACGAAGGCTAATAAGATTTTGATTCGCTATGTATGATTTTTTTACACAAATATGCATCGTATGCAATCAAATCATATTGAACGCGTTATCACTGTCACGTTCAATCGTGATGATTCATTGTTTTGGCATTGTTTTAATTTTTTTTTTAAATTACTTTTCAATTTAAAATCAAATTTTAAACATTTGATATGTTTTTAATGGATTAATAATTTAATAAAACACTAATAATTTTATATAAATTAATATATTTTTTTTTATGTTTATCAAAATTATAATAGAATCAGATTATGAAAATGAGAAAGAAATAAATTAAATATTTCTTCATTATTTTAAGGAGATTCCTCGTCCATGACATTTTCAATGAAAATGATCTCTCAACTTAAATAAATATATTGTTTATCGCTAATTAATAATGTTTTCGAGTTTTAAAAACAATTGTTTTTAAATTATATTTATGTTAAATATCTTGTCTTGTACAAAATTTTTTATCGATCATGTAGCTAATGCAATTGCAGGAGTTATTTCGCAAGCTTCTACGGTTTTCATTCGTGAATAATATGAATATGTAATTTACATCCTTTTTTATAAATATAAATTCGCTTCAATAGATTAGAGTATATGATTCTAATTATATTTTATATTTATAGAATTAAAAAAAAATGTCATATAATTACAAATAATTGAATTATATATGAAAATATTTAAAAAGTATTAAATTTGAAATATTAAGATAATTTTAACCTCTTAATGATACACACGAAACATTGAAAATGTCGATTAATACTGACTATATGGCAATCACCTGTAAATTACACCTACGAAATACCTACGTAGTCCATTATGAGCGTCATGACATAAATTGCAAATATTTACCGTACTGCGTGCATCGATATTGCATTGAATGACCTTCGATACTCTGAGAAAAAGTCGCATTCATATAATCTTTTACAACTCATGAGCAACAGAACACACTAAATATTCCAAGAAATACTAATCACATATCAATCTTTTAAAATTAAGCTTTACATAATATTGTTTATGAACATTATTTTTCATTCATAATATAAATAAAATAGATTTATAATTTTCTATTTTTTATAATAAATTTTTTATAATCATCTATGATAATTTATAAATAATCTTTTTTTATAAAAAACAAAAAACATTATATACATATAAAACTTTGATGAACTTTGATTGAACTTTTATGTGATGTTGCACGCTGAATTCAATGAAATAATGTGGAAACTATGAATATAATTTTTTTGATCATTATATTTTTATGATACATTATATTATCGATAAGTACCATGTCGCAATTTAATTATCTTCGATTTAGAAGGATAATATAAAATGTTCGAAAGTTATCTAAAAATTCTGATCTCGATAACGCATATAAGAATATCATTTTTAATTGTCATTGAAAATATAGTTTATAATATTTCTTTCATAACAGTATAGAAAATTTTGATAGTCATTAAATGGTTGAATTAGAATTAGATTTCGATTAATCGAGATTAATCTTTTAGCTATGGATGCAAGTAAGTGAAAAGTTCATTCGCTCAGTCCATTCACTGTAAAACTTGTTCGCGACCGGCGGATCAGTAGGTATGCGAGGCACATTGGCAACTTTCTTTCCACTTTTTCAATACTCGTACCGCAGTACGTCCGCGATATGTTTACTTTCAACAAACATTTATCTATCATGCCTTCATAAATTTTTTCAAAAACTTCGATTACTTCCTACTTATTTCGATAGATACGAGATGACGAATTTGGTCCATTGATAGAAATTTTATAAATTTTTTATGAATTTTTTTTCATTAATCTTTTGTTAAACTGTGATTAGAATAAAGATAATATTAGGATGATTAAATATTACTATTTAAAGTTTCATTAAATTAATTCAATTTGTTTTAATTTTATAAGTTGATCAATGTAATAAATATTTTGTTTTATTGTAGTTAATAGTTAATGTAATAATATAAATACTTACATTAAATACATTTTGAATTTTTATTAAAATGTTTTGAAGTTTTTAATTTTGTATCATTCATATTTATTATATATAACAATTAATTTTTTTTATCATTATATATAAAATAATTAAAAAATAATTCTTTAAAGAGATTTTAAACTATATTTATTTTATTATAATATTTCATATTTATTACTTTATTCTTTATTTATAAAAATCCATTCATTTTCTTCTTCCAATAACTTTATATATGTATTCAATCTCTATATATTTTAAAAAAATTATTTAAGAAATTAATAGCAAATATTAAATTAAATATATATTATATATTGACAATAATTTCCATATATACTTTTTCTTTCATTATTCATTCTTAATTATTCAAATCTCACGAAATGATTTTAATTTCTCAAAAAAAGTGAACAATGTATGATATTCCATGCACTGGCGAATGAAGGGAATACGAATAAAGTATTTATTTTTCATGCTATAATAAATTGGGAAGACATGTATTTTATGATATTGCTTATAACTTTACACTAATTATACACTAATATTATATTAACGACAACATAAATTCTTCTCCTTTTTCGTGTACTCAAACTTTAATTCTAACCTAAAAGACAATATAAATTACGTTTGATGTGAAAAGAAGAGAAATATCGTAGTAGAAAACAATGGTTTTATAGCTTGAATTTTCCAACTTCCACTCTTTCTTGGTCAATCACGTGACACTGTTCTTATATGGCAATCGTAAATTAATTTCAAACAATTAATTTTATCGCGTCATTTTTGTGGAATCGAGTTTTATGGTGCTGACTATACGCCATCGAGAATTCGCCCCACGGTATGCAACCAGAGAGATGCGATTACCTTGTGCGCGCGCACAAGTATGTACTCGAGAAGAAAACGCGAGAATGTCAGACTCCGTCCCTCTCCCATGTCATTTGGACTTCGCACTGCAAATTAGTTTATATTGCGCATGCTCATTTCCAAATCAGATAAATAATATTTTTGCATAATTTTGTTGCATTACAATACAAATTATATATTTGGTTGTGTATTTGATATTTTTTTT